TGAAAAAATATATTTAGTGAATGGTCTGCTTGGAAATTAGTGAAATTTGAAACTTAGTTGAGGCTGCTTGTAATCATTTTGTACTCAGGCACTTCTCTTGTTTCATCAATTATTTTTGACAAAATCTCTCAGCACCCAACCAATGGCTGATATGAAAGTGTCACTCAGTAAATGGGCCAATCATTATCCCATAACAGTAATAGAGAAGAGGGAAAGAATTAATTACTTTCATAGATATTCTTGAGAGGATCAATAAGTGTAGAATGAAATATTTTCCATGTCAGGGTAATCTTAGAAAAAGTGCTGTAACTTTTTTTTTTTTTCTTGTGATATAAAACCCAACACGATTAATGAAAAAAAAAAAAAATTATCAACCATCTTGAATTTAAAAAAGTGCCACTAATACATGTCATAATATATTTCCTAATAATTTTCTGAATTTGCAATCATCTGAGCTTTTATAAAGCTCAGCTTTAGTTTGATAATTTAAAAGGAAGGCAGGGGACCAATTATGTACAGTATGCGTTGATGTGTATTTGGCCAGGGAATAGCCATCAAGCCTTTACAAAGAAAGGAAAGAAGAGTATTTTTGTGCAAAGACTCTTTCTTTTTAATGCTGCGACACTCGCTGCTGGTAGTGGGCAGATATTTGCAATAAGCCCCATTCTTTTATTCAACCATTTTTTTTTTTTTTTTTCCTCTTATTTTAATAAAGCAAAAGCTTTCAACTACAAAAAAGCAAGTTAAGTTGTGCATTTGTTTCACCTACTACAACAAAAAATGTATGGCTATTGCACAACTTGTATACTATTATTATATCGGTGTGTGACATTACACTAAGTATGAGGTTTCAATCAAATGAATAAATTTAGTTAAATATCTACTCAATATGATGCTGATTTATTCAAACCAGATACCTCATCTTTGTTCTTATAGCCACATTTCAATCAATAGTGAGCATTGAAATTTATTTAGATGAGCAGAAGGCAATAATTAAGGTACAAGAATTAATGTAATATCCTCCAGCATAGACAATGAAATCAAAACAATCTACCCACATGGATTAAATAAGATTTAGTTTGAAACTCAGTTACCAAATATAACATATATCTCATGAAGGATACAATGGTTATAACAGATGAGAATACCAGTTGGAATAAATCAGTGTATGATAATTTCTCATCTGGGAAATTATCAATTTAAAAATGCTTAAAATTTGTCAGTATTTTGCCTGATACAAAAACTTAGTCTAAACTGTATTATTAGACAGGTTAATTAGCTATCTGTATTCCTAAGCAATTTCTTTAATTTTTTTTTTCTGTAACACAAGCTGCATATCAGAGGATTTTAATAACTTTGAAAATAAAGAAATTTCCAGGCAAATTGGGCAACTAGTTTGAGTTACTTTTAATTATAACCCCAACCTAATCTAAGGGAGGCAATTCCAAATTCATTAACTGTTAATTAGTCATTTTGTTTTCTTTGAGTTTTTTTAAGAGAAAAAAAAAAACAAGGAAAATTCTATAAATAGGAAGTGATATTAAATGGAAGAGGCAAGCTGCAGAAAAAAGCATTTAAGCAAGTTTAAAAAGAAAAAAAAAGAAATTATGATTGTAACAAAATATTTTATTTTAATAAAATTGATTCATTAAACTTGAAAAAAAAAATCCTCAAATTATCACTTTTTCTTTCCTTTAATCACAGTACAGAGTTGTTAGAGAAAAAGGCAGTGAATTGACTTTTGTTCTTCCATGTTTTGTTTGTTTTTTTTTTTTGTCTTTCTTTTTTTAAACAAGCAAATCAGCTGAAATGAAGTTTTAGTTTAAACTAAAAGTATAGCTAACATCTAGATATGGAAAGAATCAAGAATAGAACATTTGGAGCTGATTGTATTGGATATTTCTAACATTTTAGATTAATAGTTTTATAAAAGACATGATTCACCCATGCAACAGTATTTTAAGCTGTTGTAAATGTTGAATTTTATTGTCTAAATGATTTAACTAAAATATGGTTATAAAAATTAGCACCACTGGTGAAGAAAGATCAAAAATGTAATTATCCTTCTGTTACAAAGGAACAGTGAAAATGAATATTTGCATGAAAAAACTGAGATGAGAAATAGAGAAATCTTTCAAATCCCAGGAATCTCAAGACAAATCTTAACTGAAATTGGTTTATGATCAAGCAACAGCAACACTACAAATTTCAATAATGATGAATAAGTAGAGAAACAAATGCTTGATCTTCTTCATTCATGATCCAAGATCAACAGTAGAATAATTTTTAGACACTTTACCACACTCTTAAACAAATTAATGTTTATAAAATTTTAATTCTTGAAACAACTTTATTGTACTTGGAAGACAACAATTTCTGTTTAGTAGAATAATAATAATAAAAAATCAGCATTGTTTATTATTTTCAGAAAATTTAACTCTGTAACTTTTTTTTTTTTTTTTTTGATCTCTTAATATTTTGGCAGATTCATTTTATGGCCTTCTTCAGCAGAACTACCTTTAAGAAAAGACTATTTTCCTTGGTAGGGTCAAAGCAAAAATCAAAATTTAATCATTAAGAATATACAAGTCATATTTTCAATAATGTATGCAGCATGTTTTGTTCCAGAATTTTTAACATGGAGATGATCCCAATTCCTTTCTTAAACAAAAAATTCCATCGTTATAAACTTATATTAATAATAGTGCTCACACTATACTGAAATCTGAACTGGTCTAACTTCTGTATCTATGCAATGACTTGATGTTTTCTCATTGACATTATTCAGAAGGACTAATGGGCACCCTTCTCCCTCTGGATATGATTGGTCAATCTAAATTCCCCTCCCTTTTTTGGATATGGTCTTTCCATGTGCTTCAATTCTGACTTTAAGAGGACGGCCAGTTTTTGCCTGCAGCCATTTTCACATGGTCACGCATTTTAAATGCTGTTTTCCATCAAATTCTCTTGAGAGAGGTCAACTCAAGTTATAAAGAGTTGTACTGTCAATAACTACTCTGATGTAATATCCACAATAATTATCTGTCTAATATTGTTTTGAAGATAAGATGAACCCCAGAGATCCCAACTATATAGCTATGGATAGAATACTATCTGTAAGAAATGGATTTAGAAATTATAAGACAAATTGTACTGCATACATTGCTGAAGGAAGAATAATAGCAACATTTGTAAAATAAGTTAATATTTAAATTTTATGTTAACTTTTGTTATTTTTGTGTTTCACTACTAAAAGTCTCCATCTCTTTTCATAATGAGTAGTAAGGCTGAAGAATGGATCAGCTGAAATCTTGTGAGAATAACATATTACATACACAAAAAGAAATGTCTAAAACCCTCTTTGAATTCTACATTAATTTTTGTATAAATCCAAATTATATTTGTTGAATGTTTTGAAAAAGATTAAATTTTCCAAGTTAATAATTTATAAATATGCTTATTGGGCACTTCAACATGGTGTAATGGTTAACAAGCTTATTTTACAGATTTATTACAACTGAGAAGCAAGTTCAGTCCTTGCTGAGTATGCCATACTTGTGGCCATGTACCACATCTAAGCTACACTTAAAAAAAAAAAAAATCACTATAAATATGCTTATAAGTCAAAGAAAATTGTTTACACGCCTTTCCACATAGAGATAAGTGTCTAAATTATATTAATATCAACAAAAATATTTTGCAAATAAAAATGTTTCATAAACTTTCAAAATGGTAACAAATATATTACATTATTATAAAACAGCAAAATTAATTTACAAAAAGTTGATCTATTACGATTTTTCTTTTTTTTTCTTGCATTTGGAAAACAAAAACTTATATTTTTATAAATTATTACACAAATAATACTGCAATGAATTTTGAAAGTCATTAATTCAAAATTTTTCATCTACTTGATATGTCAAAGACTCAAGTTCAGAGTTTCAATAAAATTGCAAATCCTGATAAATTTATAACAAATAAAATTGTTACGAAAGGATGTAAAATCACCCCCCTCTGCCCCAAAAAAGACAATTTGTAGACTGATTTCTTCTGTGTAATCAAATTGCTGGGTTAATTTCTTACATTATCAAACAATTGCATTGATGCATTTCACTGCACCAGAACATCAGGAAATTTTCTCTAACATGATGAGTTTAATTGTGAGTTGCCTGATAATTCATTTCAGTTAATCTCCTGATGTTAATTCACTGGCTTGATGAGGACAAAATTATTTGCTTTGACAACTTCACTCAACACAGTCACCAAAGATATTTTGTGTGAATGTTAAATACAAAAATCCATAATCCTGTACAATTGCATGGTGAGATGGCCACACATTTTCAAAGAACTACTCAGTATTTGGGCTAGAAAAAAGGCATCTTGATTTCTGTTTCAGGAAAAAAAATTCTCAGCTGCACAATGTATATAAGATTTCAAGCAAAATACAAGTAAGGTGCTATTTCCATCAAAATATATTTTGAAATTTGAATAATAAAATTTGTAAGTTTCTAACCCTCAACAGTAGAAATCAATTTGAACATTTAAGAATTGCTTAGTACAAATTTCACTTTAGTAGCACATTTTTGATAAACATACCTGAATGGAACTGATAGTTTAAGTGTTACCCTTATTTGTTTTGTTTGCAACTCTTACTTTACAGAAATCGAAACACTGAATTCTGGGATAAATATTTAAGACAAGCAAAACCTGACAAATTTTGAAGAAAATATGAACCAAGCTAGCAGTCACAAAATTTGTCTTTCTCCTGTGATTATATTTCTGAATATTAGTAGTTTTTAAACAAATCATATTCTAATTCAAGTTTCTCTTTAAAGACAATAATTTTAAAATTTAAATTCTATTAAATCCCTACAAAAATGGAAAAAATAACAATTTGGTTTTTATTGCAGCATTGAAGATATTTAGACCTCATCTAACACTGAATACTTGAGTAATTGGAGAAAAAAATTGCTAAAAGATGTTTGCTCATTGCTAATAAACTATCTTTCTGGTACATGCTCACACAGTTTTTCATCAAAGGTAACTTTTCCATTTTCCCTCAAGAACTGGCCAACATCATCTTTCCACTTGTTAATGTTGAAACCAGGAAAGAAAAATTCTATTTCTTTCTTTGCTGTTTCTTCCGAATCTGGATAAAAGAAAAAAAATGATGCAAATGAAAATAAATTTAGCATGGGAAATTAGTTGTAAATCACAAAAGAACAAAGAATTCATATTATTTTTTTTTTTTTCACACAGTGATGGAAATTTCACTGTTATCACCAATTAGAGGAGATATATTTGTTCTAACTCATTGCAATAGTTTCATCGAACTGTTTTACAGAATAAAAAACACATTCAAGTCAAGGGATAAATTTATAAACTTTAATTTAAAAAAAAAAAAAAAAAGCTAATAATAAATAAGAGACAAAAACTGAAATGGAAAATCAAATTTTATCTACATAGTTTCAGATAGGAAAAAAACATTTACATGCAAGTTTTTAAACTTCTTTATAAACAAGCCTGTTGCCAGAATGTTTCGGGTGTGCATATGAAGTGTGTGTGTGTGTGGGTTTAAGTAAGAATTTATACACTGAAACTAGTTCACATAATTTTCACAGGGATTGGTGCATGTACAGTTTACAAACCATAAAGAACTATACCAAATAAGAGAAACCACATCATGTGAGGACTTTCAACAACTAAAAGTGATAACATGTAACTCAAAGAGAAAATAGACATAACCAATATGTTGATTTTCCACACTACTTCAAACAAAAGGTTAGGAAGAAAAACCCTTATCAATACTAGAAAAAGCGATAACAGTTACTGAACTTGAAACTATTTTCCTGGAAAATAGTTTTAAGAAAAACATTTTTAAATTCTAGCCAACAGTAGTACTGGCTGCTCAGTCAATGAATGCTGAACATTTCCTTATAAGGAAACAGCTAATATTACCATTAAATATTACATTTTAATGGGTACATGTATCTGAGTAGACACCCCTTTTCTTTTTTTTTTTTTTTAACAGTGAAAACTAGAAATACAATGCTTTACTAAAGAAAATGTAGTTCTTGACAGGAATTGAAACTATTCCCTTTTTAATTTGGGCAACTAATTCAATCCAAGTGTTGCATTACCATTAACGTATGTGAAGTCATTACAGCAAAAACAAGAGGCATATTTTCTTTATTAAGACTTCAGATCTCTAGGCTAGTGACATTCATTTCAACTTTTTAAAAAACAGATGTCTACTCAAACAATATTTATAATAAAAAAAAAAAAAAATTGTCAGATTAAAAAACCCATTAATTAGAAAAACAGGACATAGAAAATCATAGTATATACTAAGTTAAGGATTATTTTTTTTTACTATTCTGAAATTCATAATTACTATGACGAACACCTGCAGAAGGCCAGAGGGTACAACAGCTGAAACATTGACTAATACTCAAAATGAGAATACCAGTGTAAGTAAATCAGTCATGATTCCTCATCTAAAAAAAAAAAAGAAAATCTGATTTTCCTAGAAAATGCATTTGACATATTTCAAACCCATGCTTTATGTCAGGGGTCAGCAACCTACGCCATACATGCTACATGTAACATGCCAAGCAATTTCCAAAAGCATGCAACTGCAAATGATATCACAAAGTCCAAACCAATAACTACTATAATGCAAAGATATTTAGCGGTTTCAAAACTGCTCACTTGTTAGACTCCCATTAATAATAAAAATTAAAAAAAACTTTTAAAAAGTTTATTTCTATTAATGTGGTTTACATATTGTATATATTACCATATAAAATATATTGTAGAACAGATATATCGACCTTGACTTGTATAAAAATATGGCACACAATGATTTTAAAACCCTAAGTCAACACATAGTGAAAGGTTGCCGACCCCTGCTCTATGTGATAAGCAAACTTGTCACATTGGCTTATAGCTTAAGTATAGAATATGGCTTGGAATATTGTAGATTGTAGCATTGCATTTGTCACTTAGTAGATTGATTAAACAATGGAACATATTGTGATACTATTTAGCTATGGTAATTGGCTAACTAATTAACCATAGAAATTAAAAACGGGAAATACTTAAGGCGAGAAAGAGCTATACTGAAAGATAGACTGACCAACATTAAAAAGAAGAATTTATTTTATTTACAAAAGGAAGATACTGATTTTCTGTCTTTTGCAAAAAGTAAGAAAAAGTGAGACTGATTCTGTCAAATTAATGTCACAATAAGGGAGTGAAACAGAATTCTAAAAGATAAACAAAGCCGGCCGATGCATGCGACTGTGGATAAAATTTAGCTTGGGACCACCCTGGAGAATAGCCATTAATTATCTTTCAGAGATATCATTTAATTTTGGTTCTTGGGTCCAGTGAAGAGACCCATCTGGTGTATGTACGAATCTTGGCATGAAAAAGGAAATTGCGGATGAAAGTGTTATTACTTTTTCAAACTGTTGACGTCAGACACAGTGTCGTCGAAAATAGGCATCTGGTGATAAGAGAATTTTAAGATATGACAAAATAAAGAATTTAATTGTCGGGTGGGCACGGCCACCCAGTTGAAGGTTGACCAGTGGAGTGTCGACAATGATTAATGAGTCAGTAGAGGTCCGAGCTAAAGTGGATTTGGGATGTGATAAAGAATTAATTGGCAATCTGGGAATTGTAAGTGTTTTGGCCGAAGGAAAAGGAAAAAGAAAAAAAAAAAAGGATTTTGTAAACAAAATTTTCAATAATAATTCTAAGAGAGCCAGTCTAGCCACGCCCACACTGCCGAGAGATCATTGGCTAACTGGTAGCATGGGTGATAGGCAGAGGTGAATGTATGAGAAAGATGGAGAGGTTGACACCCATTGAGGGGATTGGTATGAGATACCAATGTGAGAGAGGAAGAGTCTAGGAGGATAACTCTCCTCCGACCCTCCCTCATGGGTGAGGGAGAAACCCCTGAAAAGTGATTAGTCTTCCAAAAAATGGGGAGTAATTAATTTTCCTGGCCTAAGAACAAAGAGAATTCTTATTGGGAATTGTCAAAGAACCCAAACCACGTCAGGCCCCACCCTGGAGTTGGTCGGTGTCCGTATAAACAAACGTCTTGAGGCAGCTTCGGAGAGATTTTCGGCAGAGTTGAGAGAGACACGGTCGGAGTTAGAGTCAGAGCCTTGCCTCGCAGAAGCTGACCGAAAGATTTCCACGTCCTTTTCGACAGTCTTCCTACCAAAAGCAAGTTTTTATTGACGAACGACTTAAGATACCATAGATCGCTTAAGAAATGCAAAAAGTGTCATGAATCCATAGAAACGGGCCAGGAGAGAAACACACTCCTGTATTCAACAGATAGATAAAGTTAATTGTTATTTCTCAACATATTTGAACCTTGTGAGTTTGTTTTATTATTTTTCTTTTACTTACGCTTGTGCGGTATCACCTTTACCCTGGATTCAGCTTGCACTATGGCCCGACGCCTGATTGATTTCATCTACCTAAGATCAAAGTCACAACGTGGGTAGGTTAGACTTGAGATCAAAGCAATTACTCCGGTGACCAAGCGATGGAGGCGAGCTGAGAACGACAAAGCTGGTATCGAACCGGAAACAACCAGATTGACCTGGACACAGGCTGGTAGCAGCGACAAGGAGTCAACCCCAAAATGCTGGTGGAAGAAGCCTTACAGCTTCGTGTCACAACTGGGAGTTGACCATGGGTCGACGGTGCAGTGTCACATATTGTTGTCGCGACCAGTGGATGTCACATATTGGTGCTGGACTGTGACCGCGATCACCAGTGGGTGTCACAATACAATAAAAATCTAATATATACAAGGAAAGAAAATTAATATTTACATTAAATACTGTTTTAAATTTTCTTATGCTGCTTATTTATAGTACAAGGCCAACCATATGCGTATATGGGAGTACAGATAAAAGTTGTATAGTTGTCTTGGCATTTCTGCTAAGGAAGACTCAGACATTAAAGATTAACCCTGACTACTCTCAGTGCAATGTGGCAAATGTTGCCAGAAACTAAGCTGCTATATTTTTTATTACCCAGTGATGATTGGTCAGTTTCTGCTTCCACATGGTTTGAATTCATTTGCATTGGTGTGAACAAAACTGGGAAAGGTTTGCTACAAGTTCAACAAAGAAACTGAAGGTGAGATATCATATCGTAAGAAATGTCTCAAATACAGCCATCTTTAGATAATGCCTTGATGATGAAGACAATAAATCTGTTGGTTTCAGTAAACGGTGTTCTTTATCCATGGATTTATTCACCTGACACTGACTGAGGGTAGGTAAGTGACCTATGGTTTAACTTAAAAAAGACAGTTCTTTATTCATGGATGGCTTCACCTGGTACTGCCTAGGGATAGGTAAGTGATCCTTGGTGGGTGGGGGGCATTTTCACTGCTACTTCTCTTTTACCTCACAACAGACTAATGGACCAAATCTTCCCTTCAACTAATCAGAACTTCACTGACTTTACATGTCTTACTCTAACCATGACTCTGCCTATTATCTTAAATGAAATTTAACTATATAAACCCATGACTGGAATTAACTACCTTCCAGCTGAGTGTCACTTGATCCCAAAAGTTTTTATTTGTTTAATTACACATTTTTTCCCTCATGAACAGTGAATGGTTGCTTTGAAACGCTCTAGAGTTGGTAGTCATAAAACTGCCAGTCACTCCAGTCCCAGATAAACTCATTTGCAGTCGACTTGCCTAAGTGGATGTCCGAACCAATTGTGCAAAGGCCCATTGGTTCTAGCAGGGCCAGGTAAGTATGTTGCTTGTATGTTGAAAGGAACTAAGTAGCCAATGAATTTTACATTTTGATTACAGTTGCACCAGCAGATCATTTTGTCAACTCTAGATAAACCATTAATCTATGCTTGCTATAATCTGGTTTTAAATAAAGGTGAACACGACTGCTTGATGAAGAAAGAAAATTCTTTATATTTTTAAAATTAATTTTACCTTTAATAGAATACAGGTGCAAAAAATAGCCAATGCATTGCAAAGTTTAGTTTAACATACTTAACAGCTTGAAAATTGACACAGTTTGAACCAAAGGTTAATATTAATGACAAAATACAAAACTTAAAATTGCTAAAGCAAGATCGATAAAAAGTTATTTACAGAAATCTTTGATCCAAATTCTGTCAATTTTAAAGCTCTGTTAAAATAAACTTGTTGCAATATATTGGCTACTTTTTGCACCTATTGTAATATAATTTCACTGTTTGTAAGAATTAGTTTATAAGATTATATATTACATAACAAAACAATTTATAAAGTAGTGGATTTTTTATTTATTAATCCAGCAGATTTTATCGCTTAAACATTATTTTTTTTTTTAGTTTTTTTTTTTTCAGGCTGATAGACATATATATATACTATTTAATAAGTAAACAATGCATCTACTCAAATATGGGTATCCACTAAAAATAACATTTAAGTGATAAAATATTACATAACACTAAAAAGGTAATGATCATTGAAGGCATATTAACTTTTTAAAAACTGAACTATTTTTGGACTCTGGTCTCATGTCCCCACAATTTTACTTCCTCCATTGCAGGTTTTAAATGAAAATGAACATAAGTACCTGATGAGGACAGTTACAAATTCTAAAACAACAAAGGAAATCCATTTATTTTTTCTTAAATTAAAACATAAATATTTAAATAAGTTGAAAAACTTTAAGAAGCAAATATGAATAGCTGATAATAACTGAATATAATTTGCATACAAACCTGAACCATGTGCACAATTTCTTGTATCTGTTAGACCGAAACGTCCACGAATAGAATCTGGCTCATCAAAGATAGTCCTTGAATATACAAATAAATAAACTTTGCAAAATTTCCATTTTAAGATATGACTAGTACTGCTTTGTTCTGCAATAGACATTTTAATATTATTTCTATAATTGTGTATACATTTTATTAGATAAACCCTAAAATTTTATCTATTTTTTTTTAAATGACTGTTTTAGTCACTGAATTTCTAATGCACTCACTTGCCCAATGAATATCTTTTTCTGATATAGTGCAAGTTCAAAGTTTTACTTTTATTACTTGTGCTGCATTTTAATGTAAGCATCTCATATGTTTGAAGAAGGTTAATAAATGGCCCAGCACTTCAAATGCAAGCCATGTGGATTTGGAATAAATTGTTTACTTTAATTATGCTGAATTTGGATAAAACCAAATTTGTAAGGAAATACATTTGAAATAAGGCTGGATTATACAAGAAAAATGAAAAGTAAAGACACTGAGCAAGATTTGTTGAATCTGCAGAAACAGAATTGTTCTCTATCCTGAGAAAGACCTGTTCAATCTGACTGCAGGTACAAAATATTTTCCCAGTGAACTCTAGGAAAAGCATTAACTATTTTTTCATTTCTCAGTCTATAATGCCAAAAAGAGCAAGATGTTTGTAGGAAAAGTTAGATAAGGTTGAAATTAATTACCAAAATGGATCTGCTTGAAGCCTTGTTATTTGATCCTAGCTTTCCAGAAGAGTAGAAACCAGATGACCAAAGTTGTGGCTTTGTAATTAATTGCCTTGGTCTTCAATATATTCAAGACAACTGGTTCAGCAACTTAGATCACCACTTGAGACATTGGTGAACATTTTAACCTGTGATATAGTAAGCTGAATTCCTGACTTCAACAGCATTTGAATCATCCTATCAACTGCTTTGAGTTTTGTCCAAAGAAAATCTCCATTACACTACCAATATAAAAACTCCTTCGGTGATCATATTAACCCCATTACAAAAAATAATGCTTGTCAAAAGATAACGATTAAAGCTTAATATTTTTATGTGTTTCTATTGTAAACATTGTATATTTCACCACTGCAGCAAAATAAAGAGAAAAAATAAAGTACAGATTTATACCCAGGGGAAATAGGGCAAGCAATAACTAAGTATTACTAAGTAGGAACAAGGTGAGATATCCTTATACATTGACTGTGGAACAAGAACCTACCCTTATAGGTTACAGAGTTCAGTTCAAAATGCCCTGAAAGTTACCTATATCAACAAACTGAGGGCACAGCAGCAAAAATCTAGTGATAGCAAAGATGAGGATATTAGTTCAAATGTAAATAATCAAAAATAACTCCTTGTCCCAGAAATTCAAACAGAAATCATTAATTTTATCTTTCATGGAATACAGTTGGTGTATTAAAAAAACCCAATGCATTGCAAAGTTTATTTTAACATACCTTTCCAGCTTGAAAATTGATACAAAATTACCTTGAATGTTTTTAGTCATGCGGTCCACCTTGTGCAACATTCTGCAATCCTTCACCATCTCTCACCAGGCAGTCTTGATCCAATGACAAGAAACCAGTCAAGATAATTGAAGACTCCCTGTGCCTCATACTGATTTGAGTAGACTGATGGTAAAACACAGGTAGTGTCATTAATGCAAGCATTATATCACAATGATGTGACCTCTGCTATTGCTTACAGTACCAGGTGTTTCCAAATGGTTCAGCATCTAAATCAGGCATTGGCAAACTTTTTCAAGCACAAGGTGAACCGCATGACTAAAAAGATTCAAGGTAATTTTTTGTAGTAGGTACCTCAGCTATTTTCACTACAAAACACCATATGCATAAGCATACATCTTAAAAATAAGAGAAAAGATTTTTCGATAATTAAAAAATTGAAGTCTTGTTATAATATTATTGATGACAGTGTGATTAAAATGTGTCACTGCATGTAATATATTTCTAATTTATTCATTTGAAAATAAAAGAAGTATATTTCTTCTCCATAAAAAAAAAATCATTATGAATGTTTTGTTTCAAAATTATAAAACCTTTTCAAGTTAATATGATGGATAATTATAAAAGAAACAATATATTCAAAATAACAAATGATTAACTCACCTTAAGACTCTTGTAGGGCCAAGAAGTTTCCTCCATTTATTGATTGCATCATCACGAGCAAGAATATGAACACCAATTGGACCACTGAAAATGTGCATAAAGGAAAATTTATTTTTTTTGTTATTTTTTTTAATTTTGCTTGATTTTATTTCTGTATAGTTAAAAGAAGAATAAAATTAAAAGAGAATAAATGGATCTACTCAGAGTGGACTAATTTAAAATCCAACAGACATCAATGACTCTAATATATACACATATAAAGGTTGTTGGTGTCTGTTAAATTTTAAATTTAGTTTTTTAAAAAATAGACATCTTAATAACTTAGTTACTTCCCTTGATGTTAAAAAAAAATTTTAAAATCGTACAGTACATAAGTTTAGCATTTTTCACTTCACAAATAATTAATTTTCAGATAAACACAACAAATTTGTCTTAGATAAAACAAGACCCTGAAGATAACATTTTGCTAACGTTGAAAGTATTCGAAAAAAAATGAATATGCATCAATATGGTAACCTTCTTTTTTCTTTAATATGGTTACTAAGATGCCTGTCCATGAATATAAGAAGATCATATTAAAAATAAGTAGGCAAAATATGTTTAAATTACTTAATGAAGCATGTCTTATATATATATATATATATATATTACAACTGTTGGTGTCAGTTGGATTTTAAATCAGATCACTCTGATTTTAAACAAATGAACAAAGACTTTCTGGTCTCTGGCCATTGAATCTGATAAAGTAACTTAATATATTGTCCCAATTATCCTAAAAAATCCCAACACATTTTCCTTACACAGTTTTATCTTTCATTCTAACATAAAGAAGGCAGACCCAACACATGTCATATTAGTAAAATGCATCATCTAAAAGCTTTTACACTTTATATAAAATATGCATACATGCACATATGCATACATTGACAAAACAAAATGAATTTTATAGGATTATTTTTTATCTGTGCATATGTGTGTGTGTGTGTGTGTGTGTGTGTGTGTGTGTGCATGGCCGAGTAGTTAGAACTTTCGCTTTCTGACTATGAGAACTGGGTTCGAATCTCACCATGGTTGATTTGTCAGGAAGGAGATTTCCTAATGTTATCGGTCTGGAAGGGAGACAATCCCAGTATGCAGCACCTTTGGAAAGTGCCTGAGAACCATGCCACAGGTTGACCCAAGCCTTGTGAATGAAATTGGGGAGATGGAACACTTGGGGTCATTGATAACTGTGCTAGCACAAAGTCATAAGTCATCATGACCGAGATTTTGAGTGTGCTGGTGTTGTTCAGATTGTTAATCATTCTAGATAACATGCTCTCTCCCCAAAACTGTAACCAATGTCTGCTCAGCATAGTTGCAGTATAAACCACAGGTTGGCTCTGTGGGTGTTGAACAAACACAAATGTGCTTGTGCGAAAGTCTGCAATAAGAATTGGCTAGCCACCATAACAGACGAGTGTCCTCGAATATGAGTGGCCAGGTATTATATATATATATATATATATATATATGAGTCATCCACAGACAGACTGTTTTGCTGTATCACAGCTCTTCATTGTGGCGAGACATTCGATTGCTTCAAGCTAGGATTGAAACTTGACTGATTTAACATCAGTCAAAGACACTTACCCTTAGACTATCAGCGCATGCATGGAGAAAGAGAATTTTTACTGCATTACATATGTGTTATGAGCATTATCAGCTGCCAGAGTGCTCTATTCATTGTGAAAAGCTTTTTATGGATACAACTTATTTGAGTAAATGCTCTGTTGAATATTAATTACATTTACTGGCCTGAATATTCAAGAAATTTTGTAGAAAATATGTGCTCCCCAACAGGAATCGAACCTGTATCCCATATGGAAACTGTTATAAAAGCTAAAACAGGATTAAGGCGAGGGTAATAGAGAAGGATTTTGCTTAAAGGCACTGTTTGAACTTTGCATGTCAGATCTAACAGTTTCCCTCTACTCAGAGGGACGCAGGTTTGAACCCTGCCGGAGAGCACATATTTTTCTTAAATAGTCAAGCCAGTAGATGAAAATAAATAAATATACTGTTTAATAAATAAAAGGAGTATTTACTCAAATATGAGTATCCACTAAAAATAACATTTAAAGTGATAAAAATCTGTCAGAGTGATCAATAAAAAATCAATTACTTGTTTAGAATATTACTTTGTTTACATTTATATATGACAATGAGCAGATATGATAATTTTGAAGAATCTATGACAAGATTTTACTTATGGCCCCGTTCAAACCTTGCTTGATCGACAAAGTTTCTTCATGGCTGAGATGGTTAAAGTACATCAGATCTAACAACAGTTTCAATCTGCATAGGAGGATGCAAGTTTGAATCCTGCCGAAGAGCATATATTTTTCTTTAATAAGATTTATCAGGGCTTCAGGCCAGTAGACAAAAATAAATAAATATACAATTTAATAAATAAATGGAGTGTCTACTCAGAGATGAGTATTCACTAAAAATAATGTTTAAAGTGATAAAAATCTGACGGATTGATAAATAAAAATCCATCATTTTAGAATATTATCTTGTTTATATTTGGATATGACTTATTCAAGGCTTCTAATCATTTTTTTCTGTCTGGTTCAGATTTGTAAATATATCTTCCAATGTCTAACACTAGTAATTTTCAAAGACTTTTGGCTAACACAAGCCATTTTCAAAGACTTGTTTGGTGTGTCACTAGTTTGATTTTTTTAAACATTGAATTTCAAACCAAAAGTCAGAAATATGATTGGATGCATTCCAAAATTTAAATAAAAAAAAATAATAATCAAGTAAATTTAATTGGTTTTTAATCAATAAATGAAAAGATATCCATATTTGAGTAGACTTTATTTTAAACAGTATCTATTTTATCTACTAGTCTACTAGTCTGCGTATTTGTGAAAACTCAATAAAGAAAATGCACCCTCCAGTAGGAATTGAAAATGCATCCCCCTTTGCAGGAGAGACCATTGTCTGATCCAGCATGCTTTGACTGCTTGACTACAAAGAACTTCACAAGCAAGCAAGGTCCTATTTTTGCTTTTTTCTATTTTTGCCTACGTTTTCTCGAGTAAGCAGGCCAGTAGGTGGAAATGAATACTGTTTAAAATAAACAGAATGTCTACTCAAATATGGGGATCCACTAAAAATAAGCTTTAGAAGTAATAAAACTGTAATGGATTAAAAAATAAAGTCCATTAATTTTTTAGATATATATTACCATAAATTGTGGCATACGTCAAGTTTTCAAGCCTAAAAATATCTTTTTAGGTCACAGGGTGGGTCAACCTATACAATAAATATGGGCCTAACTCATTTTTTGGCACTAAAAGTCTTGAGGTCAACTCATACACCAGGTTGATTTGTACACTGTAATTTACAGTACATATGTGTATATATGGATACACACATGTTATGAGCTTTTCTGCTGGGCATATATCATTACAAGGTACTTGTTCTTACAGTTCTTAGTCTGAAAATAACTTATCAGTATATAAACAAACCTGTTTCATGTACTAACTATTATGTATTACATGTAGTTTGTAAATGTTTATTCTAGTATCAAGTGAAGAGAGATCGTTGTAGAAATGGAGTCATGAAGCAAATGGTAGCCCTGCAATCTCACCAAAATCTACATGGAAAAAAAAAAAAAAAAATTCTGTGAAAGGAGCAATTGGTTTAAATGAGGTGACCAATTTGGATTCTTACTGGGATAAAAATGATGTAGATAACTGCACAGGTGTTGAAGAAGAGGTTGATAGTAAATGAAACAAAAAGCTGTCATTTTAAAAGAATGTTTTTTATTGTTTTTCTTAAAACTAATGGGTTAGCAAGATTAAGTTTTTATTTCTTGTTAAGAATCTCCCTATAAATCAAGAGTAGTCATGCGCAGGTGATTTCCCGTAAGATAATTAGATTTGTAGATTCCACAGCAAATGGCATTTCCCTGATATGAGGATAATTCTCTATATAAACTGTTTACAAACTTTCTTGAGAATAGCAAGGTTTCCACATGCCAAGCAAAAAAAGCTTGGCAAGTGAAAACCTTACTATTTTCAAGACACAATGTTTTTTTATATACCATTGCTCACCCAATACAAGACCTAAGAGCCACTTAAAGTTAGTGAATAAAGTTATTGCAATGGCATAAAGGGAGGAGCTAAAATGTGCATATTATGAGGATATTTAGGATAGATAACAGTTGAACCTAGACTTGAAGAAGTTACGATTGTAGTGTTCAGGTAAGCAACCCCTCAGGAATCAGTCCATAAAGTGACAGTTCTGAGGAAGAAGCTAAGTGGAACTTCTTCTTTACCAATGTAATATAAAGAGAATGAGGATGAATTGATGCTGGGTACATGGCATGGTGGGTCCTAGCTGTGAAGGTCTGAACTGGTAGAACTAAGGATGTAGCTCATTTGAACATTTATGATGAAAATAACAATAGAGTAGAAATGCTTTGTGAGAAAGGGTTTGCAGGGTGAAAATAATTTGTCATCCACAATCACTTTTGAACTCTGTCGAGGTTGGACTATGAGGATTGGGCAGTACCAGGCCAGATATGGTGGCAATACTCCATTTTTGGTCTGATCTCACTATTGTCAAGATAAAGCATAGCAGTAGGAGTTAGGTACTCTCTGGAACTGTATAAAAAAAAAAAACAAGAATTTTTCCAGCATCTTTAGTGATGGTATGAATATACTAGTTCCAGTTAAGATTTGGAGTGACCTTTACTCCCAATAACCATTCAAGGCAAGGAGCTACATTGAGAATACAACTGCTCATTAGGACTGGAGTAAATTTAGGGTTTGCTTGGTGGTAATGAATTATTGCTAACTTTGTTTTGGAGATATTGAAGGTTACAAGCCAGCCCCCCTTCAGCTGTGAGAGTTAAGTCAGAGGAGGGAGATTTAATTACATATTGAAATGAATCATGGCAAACATCTTTATCTTGAAACCAATATTGGAAGCAGAAGATAATTTAGATTCATTATAGATTTTGGATAGCATCTATGAATGAGAAATTAGCCATGTTTGAATTCCAGTTGAGTTTGTTATATTCACTTATGCTAATACTGTTGGGAAAGGGTATGAATCCATCTCCCCCCAGCTATGGGTTAAATAGAACATACTTGGCTCTTTAGCCTTGGTTGGTAACCAGTCTAGAAGGATATCACTAAATTCAAAAAACCTTATTTAGCATCTATTAGCTGCATATAGCACATACTATATGCAACTAATATCCTTATCAAGCGGAACACAAAGGGTGGAAAATAGTGAGTACTAAGCAGCACCTGTCTAGCTTTGAAAGTGATACTCCATTCTTGGTCTGATCTTGTAAAAATAGAGCATAGTAATAGGAGTTAGGTATTTTCTGGAGACCCAATAGATGATCAAGGCAAGGAGTCTCATTGAGAGTATAAATACTCATCAGGATCTTTAAATTTAGGGTCTGCTCAGTGGTGATAAATTATTACTACTTTTGTTTTGGAGGTATTGAATTTTTACAAGCCATCCTTCCCCCCATTCAGCTGTGAGAGTTAGGGAGATTTAATTACATATTGAAATGAATAATGGCAAACATTTTTATGGATACCATTTCTTTAACTTGAAACTAATATTGGAAGCAGAGGATAATTTAGATTAATTATAGATTTAGATTATAGAGTTTAGATTTCTCCAGCATTGTATATACAAGTTCTATTTGAGATCAGGGAGGAACTTTAATTCCAATAAATGTTCAAGTAATGGTGCCTCATTGAGAGTATGACCAATCTCTTCAGGATTGGAGCAAATTTAGGATCTGTGATGAAATATTTGTTTTGGAGGTATTGAATATTACAAGCTTTCCCCCCACCAAGCTGAAAGAGCTAGGTCAGTGGAGAGAAGGTGTCAACTGAATAACTAGGTTGACAAGGAACTGGCCAAGGGAAATGGTAGTACTATTGTCAACTGAATATACAATGAAAATTGGAAGTAATTGATAGATTATACGGTTAGCATTGTCTTTCACTCACACACACACACACACACACAGACAGACAAAAAAAAAAAAACATGCATAAATTATCTTACCTGGACATAAATGTCACAAGTCTGTTGTAGAAAAACTTATCTGAAATTAAAATAAAAAATACATTTTATTTTAAATGTTAGGTTAATATTTAAATATCTAGATGAACTCAGAGGAATGTATAAGTACTAAAGTGCCAATATTGTTGTTACTTTTAATCAACTGACATTTAGTATGTTTAACTTTGTAAGTCACAATATCAATATTACTCATAACCTTTCAACACCAACAGGTGATTCCAATTAAAGAATGTGTAAACTGTCAAAAAACAAAAAACAAACAAACATTTTTAGTGTCATATTTTTTCACTTTTGACACATGAAATATGTTAAATATTCATTTTTATCAGTATTTGTTTCAAGGCATCAGTCTTTTAATCAATCATTTTCTTAACAAAAAGTAAGAGCATTATTTACATTATTTGGACTATTGTCCTCATCTTTGTCGCCATATTTATCACAATGTTTCTGCCGTTGTATGCTCTGGCTGAAACGTTGTGATAAATATGGCGACAAAGATGAGGACAGTAGTCCGAATAATGTAAATAATGTACATAATACCTCATCTCAGAAATATAGACAGACTAAGAAGTAAGAGGTTGGAAGGTCTATAAAAATTACTCTGATATTTCACTGTTTATTTTAGAAATATCAAGTAAAAAATAAATTATTCTTATTTAAATCAAAAGATATTTTTTAAATAACTAACAAAAATGAAAATCAAAAACAGATATAAGCAAATACAGTTAAAACAGTCATTTACCTCATTAATATACACCATAAAATTTGGTATTGATTGCAAAAATTTAAATAAAAATCTGCTATTAATTATAGGTCAATAATAATAAAAATTAATAATAATAATTCAGTATTGATTATAGGTTTCTAAAAATCTAGTATTAATTATAGGTTCGTAAAAAAAATGCAGTATTAATTATAGGTATTATTAATGTCTAAAAAAAAAAATCTGTTAATTATAATTTCTACTTACAACCAATTAATACTCACTACCCCAAAAGTGGGACAGTGTGTATTAATGACTTAAGAAGCTTTTACAACATTTTCAATAAAATGTTCTTCATATTATTAGTCTATATTTATATTCATTCATTATTTTCCTTATAAATATTCAAATTATGCATTATTACATTTTCATTTGGAATAGCAGGTTATCATGAAATGTTTACTCTTCCCATTGGTAAACAAACTTATGGAATACAAGAAATGGAATTTTCCAACTTCTTTGCCCTCACCATCAAAAATAGTAATATCTAAATTATTTCACAATTACATCATACTTATAAAACATCAAAATCTTTATGCTGCTCTGCATCTCTTTTTACTTATATTCAATACTCAATAAAATACCAGAGCATTTACTATCTTTAATTTTCAACTTAAATAAAAACAAAAAAAAAAAAAATTATTTTAAAAGAAATTAAAAATTGATCTAAAAAAATAACCTACAATCTGTTATTAACTGGAGCAAGAAATGGCTTGTTAATTTTAACACTACTCATTGCATCTTCTCAGGATAATGTTTTCCAGTGACATGAAGTAGAAAGAGTATATTAAATCAATTGCTAGGTCTGTTGCTCAGAATATTGGTATAGTGTGTTGTGCTAGACAACTTTTCTTGTCAAAATGTATCTTACACATTTATAAATCTACCATTTGTACATGCATTGAATATTGCTTTCACATCTGTTCTGGTTCTTCGATTCTTAATAAAATCCAAAAAAGAATCTACAATGTTATTGATACTAACCTGGCATCTCAGCTTCAGTCACTTTCCTAATGCCATAATGTAGCTTCCCTGTGACTTTTATATAAACATTTTCATGGTAATTGTTCTGATGAGCTTTCCTCTTTGGTACCTTGATTTTATAAATATAAGTGCAGTACTAGATTGTCAACTAGGTCTCATCATTTGATAGTTGAAATGGCTAGATGTAATCATAAGTTTTATGCTAACAGTTTCTTCTCTCACACTTCTCGCGAAACTTTCTTCCATCCTCTTGCTCTCTTGTCAACTTTAATTTTCAAAAATTTAAACGTATCAATGAAAATGATTTCATTACATAGTTCTACAGTTCCACTCTAAAACAACTCTTTTATAAATGGCCAGTCTACATATACAAGAACTTTTGCTCAAGTAGAGTGACTTGCAATGTTAATTTACTTCTTATAAGTGTTTAAAAAATATACTGTCCATATATGCCTATGGACAATGGATATTAACGTAGCCTTTTCTATAAATATTTTCGTAGTAATTATTCTGGTGAGCTTTTCTCTTTGTTACTTCAACTTTATGAATTTAAGTATAGTACTAGATTGGTGGCTAGGTTTCATTATTTTATAGTTGAAATGGCTAACATTTCTTGCATATAGCACTCTCTTCCAGCCTCTTGTGTTACAGTCAATTTTGATTGTCAAAAATTTAAATACAATGTCAATCATTATCTTCCGTCTTTTTAATTACTGTTATATTATTGTTCTCTCCCCTTGGTAATGTTTTACTTTTTCTTATATTCTTTCACACTTGGTAACTGTGTGCATTTTACTGGCTTTATTGCCTTGCTTGGGGTGAATTGAGTAAAATAAATAAAATAACAGAATATTTTATTTCTAGTATATTATCATCAGGAGAGTTGCAAATGAATGAAGTATTTCTTTATCAAATTTAACATGATATAAAATTCTATTTTTATGTCCCCAGAAGAGTGCACTATATAGAGATGAGCAGTTCACCTATCTTTATGCAGTGTATTTTTCTGGTGGTGTAGAAAAGTCTTACAGACGTACATACACACACACACACACACACATATAAATGTATTTATGGATATACATTGCGTTTTAAGCATGTGGGTTAATAAAATAAAAAAAAAATATATACATATAAATCAGTGGAACATTTAAAAATTATCCATAGACAATCACGGCTCTCTACAGAATGTTTCTTTATTGTGTTAAAATTGCCATTACTTCCTAGAAAAGATAGGGGAGTGGTTTTCCATTGCTCTTCTCTTATACCAGTTGCCACCCACAGCTAGAAAGTGCAGTCTATTCTTCTATTTAACCCATATTTGAGAGGTGAGAAGAAATGGATTTATGCCTTCTGCAAGAGCATTAGTGTGAAAGTGAATGCAACAGACAAGCATGGAATTTGGATCTCGGTTTGCTGATTCCATTTTCTACAATGATATCTATTACACTACTGACACATCTTTCATTTAAAAATACAATAATAAATTGTAAAAACAAAACATATGATAGGCTTTATGGTTTAACAGAAACAATGTCTGCTTAGAAACAATACACTATAGAAGGTTTTTACTGACAGGATTGTAATCTTATTTAGAAGTGAGCTCAAGGGCAGTCCTTAGGGACAATAGGTTAGAAAAATAAAAGCAGAAATAATTAGCTAAAGAAAACTATCAACAAACAAAATAACTGATCATTAATTAGATTTAAAGGACTTATTATATAAAAATCAATATCCTGTACTGAAATTCAATTACTGTTAATTCTTTTCTAATTAGTTGCTTCATACTGGATTAATATTTGATAAGTACATAACCGCTTACATTTTCTCTACCTCAAAACAGCTTACAGTTACTCATTGCATTGCATGCCATCTCTGGGTTGTGGTGGTCTGTCTGCAATTCCTCAGTAAGGATCTCAGTGCTGCATCAACAGACTGAATCTGTGACAGGCAATTTTCATCAGGTTTCTTTTTTTTCTTGTTTTATTCTGGGGAAGACATAGTATGAGGATCCATTGCTAAAGATGCTAAAAAATACTTATCATAAATGAATAGTTTACTTTAAATTCTTAGCACAAGTGCAATCAACATGTTTATTTGAATGTGCTGGAGGTGTTATAAGAATATGTTCAAAGGAAAAGACCCAAACTCTAGCCTAGACAAGTGGATTCTCCATTGATAATGTTCCTGTGGATGATACATTACAAGAATTTATAAGTTCCTAGCTAAGAAATCCGTTACAAAAATGAGCCATCCACCTTATTCACCAGTCTTAGTCTCCTCTGATATTTGGTTATTTCCAAAATTGAAAAGGATAAAGATTTATTTACACTATTTATATTTGGACTATTATCTTCATTTTTGTTGTTGTTATCATAACGTTTTGGCCATTGTGTCCTCTGGTCTTTAGCTAGCGTATATTAATCTGGGTAACCTACAGGGAATTCTGAACTGAAGACTGTTCTCGTTCGACAAGGGATATCGTCTAGTTCTTATTTTTAGTACTGCTCAGTTATAGCTCATGTATTTCCACTGAGTCCAAGTTAACATTAGATTGAACTCACAATTACTATGTCACCAAATTCTCAAATCAGTACTTTAATCCACTTGGCTATTGTCCTATAGAATTATGGGTGTTCCAGAAAGAAAAACAGAAACAGAATGATCATATGGTATACACCTCCATTCAATCAATTAGTTTGTACTAAATTGGGACACAAGTTTCTTAACTTAATTAATAAACATTTCCTAAAAGTAATTTATTAAGTAAAATTTTCAATCAGAATACTCTAAAACTTAGTTATAGTTGTACTAATAATCTAGAGAAAATAATTAAATCACACAACAATAAATCATTGAAATTATATAACAGTAATAAGTAATGCTAGTACTGATTCTAATTTGTCTTGTATAACTAACCTACGTAATTGTAGGAATCCTAACCAATGTCCTTTATCTAACAAGTACTTAACAAAATCCCTTGTGTATATGTGTTTTATTTCATCAATTGAAAATCCCAGAATTGTTAAAATATATATTGGTAGCACAATGAATACTTTTAAAATACATTTGTATAATCATCTCTCATCCTTTACTAATGCTGACAAGTGAAACATGACTTCACTTTCTAAATATTTTTGGAAATTGAAAGAGGAAAACAAAACACCTAAAATTAAATGGAAAATTCTCAAACAAGCCAGAACCTGTAGATCCATGATGGAACTGTGTTTCCTTTGTCTACAGAAGAAAATGCAGACAATTAAAATCTTGAATAG